TCCGTCGTCGTCGTCGTCGCGTCTACACACACACACACACACACACACACACACACACACACACACACACACACACACACACACACACGCACACACACACGCACACACTCGTTTTACATGTTTTCGTTCAGGCTCTCTGTGCTTTGACAGCAGCCTGGCAACAAACACTCAACAGCGCGGCCAACGATGGAAATGAGTGACGTTACTGACATTCTTTGTCTATTCTTAAACATTGTTCTTTATTTATTCAAAGTAATTTACTGTAAAACTTCATAAAATAAATGAAATTCAATGTGTGAAAACAGGCTCTTAAAGTGAACATTTGCTATTGAGTGAATAATTCTTCCTGGTAAATCAACCACTTCAGATGCGTGTAAGAATGAGGCAGATTATAAGTGTTTGTGTACCAGGTATGTTTTATATCCACACTCGGTAGATAAGCACGCTCAAGGGGTGTTTCTGTGTCCATCTAGAGTAATATTTAGAGGATTTATGTCGTTCTGAGAAATGTTTAGTTGACAGACCTTGGGTGGTATGGAGAGAATGTGTATACAACCATCCATAGAAAATACTCCAGTTCAAGGCCGTGTGCATCAGGAGCTGAGTCTCCCTTTAAAAAATGTTTTTCTTTAAATTCTCAGTTAATCTGATGTAAGGACAACTTCTTTATCGTGTCGGCATTTCTTTTAAATGTGGGCCATAGTTGGATCTGTTCAGTCTGTCATTTTGCAACATGCTCCTGCTCTTCAACACAAAGCTGCTGTGTGGGAGTTATCTCGTTGCACGCGGGAGCGTCCTGAATCTACATATGATTTGTTCTCGCGTCTGTCAGATTGACAGAGCTCCAACACAATAAGTATTTACATAAACAGGGTAATCATTATTTATGGGATGCTCATCCATTTTTGCGTGATTGTTCAGCACGTTGTTGCATAATAAATGGGTCTCTCTCTTTCTCTGAGATGTTTAGCTTTCCCTTTAGTGAATATAACGGCCGCAGCTCTACAGGCCATACTGTGTGTGCCATACTTGACGTATCGTTGTGACACCTTTGTGGCCACAATGTGAATTTAAACTGTTGATGCCAGTCCAGTCTCTTTGGAATCCAATGTCGGCTTTCAGAAGCTCGTGCATTTAGGATAGTAAAACAAGACTGAGAGCAATTCCAGTAGTTGTTGAGCTTTTTCAGTCTGGACATTGCATTATCATGGCCGAATATGCTTTAAACTGCTCTAAAACCTGCTGGAATCTCTTTATATTACAATTTATCAAGAAACACATGTAAGTATAATGAAGGCGCTCTTTGGTAGTGGCTGGTATAAGGGACCCTTACAGTTTGCTATCCGAGCTCCTTTTTCTAGAGGAAAATCAGGCTCTTTTTTTTTTTTTTACTGCTCTAGAATTAGAAAGCTTTTTAGGCAGCTCATGGGAGGATTTTCACCACAATCACAATATCACAAGTGCAATGAAATCCTAAATTGTCCCGTCCTTAGTCTGGTCCAAAGTGGTTGACTGACTGACCAACACACGTATGGCTAAAATGAACTGTATTTTTACCACAATACAAAGCACAGACGTTAAGAAAGGGAAACTGATTTCCTACAGACACGAACCAACGGTGGCCTAGCAACTGTCACCCTGGCCGGGCTTTGTCAATGTAAAAATACTGTATGTTATTCCAGAGCAATTCTATTATGTGTTGAAGCACTTTGTTATTTGAAATGTGTCGGACAGACGATGGTTATATGAAAGCAGGATATTGATCCTCCAGCCTCGTAGGCCATGTGCTGTTGTGTGCACGAGGAGGAATTGGTCTGTGTGAAGCTCTGAGAAGCCGCTGCTGGCTGCATCGCCAATCCATCGTTAAGCCATGCGTTCCAGCCAGACGGCTCAGAGACCTGGCATATTGGCGGCATGAACAACTTTCCAGCGCTGGAGGGTCAGGAAGAGATACAGTTGTTTTAATGGAGAGACTGAAACACAGATTTGGAGTGTATTCTCTGTGATCCCAGGACCTCTGTGGAAGATGTACTGTAGAAGCCAAACCTCTGGTATCAACACACACTAAGGTCACAATGCTTATATTTCAATAATGTCAGTCCTAGAATTATTGACGATACATCAGTACCAGAAGTAGAGGCAGTCTACTTGAGTTGATGGCACCTGACTGGTTACACTTGAGTTTGAAGAGACTAATCTAGACATTAATTAGGGACAAGATGAGGGGCATGACTCTTATGTTAACATTATGAAAGCTTCTGTCCTTTGAAACACCATTTAGGGCTCTGTTTCCTGTCTGTTCTCCTTTTAAATGAGAGGACATGATGATGATGATGATGATGATGATGATGATGATGATGATGATAATCTGCGTCACTCTCTTTGTAATAGATTTTCTTTTCTGCACTGCTCTCTTTATAGATATATAGAGACACAGAGGCCAACAGATGTCAACCAAATTGACTTTAATGCCTTTTACTTCCATGTCATTTAAAAGTCTTAAGTAATGAACGTGTATCCAAAATGATGTGAGGCCTTTCTGTTTATCCTGTTTCCTCCTGTTTACAAAGAGGACTCAACACATTTTTGATCTACCGTTCAGTATACAGAGTGACCTGTCATCTATTATTCCTCTCATTTTAAATTGGATTTAAATATGTTTGAGGTACCGATGACAAGATTATAGTATCAGATGTGTCCTCCCTGACATCGCTCTAAAATGGTCTTAGCTATTACTTTGTTAAAATGGAGCCTCAATGACCTCCTTGGCCCACATCTGAACTAAGAGAACTCATAGAAATCTGAAACTAGATCACTGCAGCGTTTGGCAGTTGCTGTAAGCAGATCAAAGTAGAGATAGTTAATATCTCCTCTGATCTGTGATCTATCTGTTGCAGCTCTGTATCAAAACAAGATCTTGTACAATCCCTTCAAAAGTTTTCATTTGTGTTTGAAATCACTGGAATGTCCCTTCAAGCAGGACAATTCAGTCCCTGTCCCTGTATCGCCCTTTTATCGCTTATACTCTTGATTTTGTGCGGCCTTTATTAAGTCACAATGTCCTATGTTTTTTACTCTTGTATGTCGACTGTTTATCCCACATCTCAACTGTCAACCTGACAAAGTATGTTTTACAGTACGTGGACAAATTACATTACATTTAATTTAGTTGACGCTTTTATCCAAAGCGACTTACAATAAGTGCATTCGACCAAGAAGATACAAACGGATATCAGAAAACAGAATCATACAGTAAGTACATCAGGTTTCATAGAGCTAAAACATTTCAAGTGCCACTCAACTGGCTTTAGATAAGCCAGTCCTTTGTTAGTGTATAAATGCTCTGTTAGTATGTAAGTGCTTATAAGTGCTTTTTATTTTTGTTTGTCTTTAAATGAAATAGAAACCAAGAGGTCTCACATTCAGCTCCCATCTATAGCCATCACTATGCTATGACCCTGCCATGCGGCAAGCCGGATCACCCCCCCCCCCCCCCTCTTCCTCCTGATCCTGGTCCTGCTCCAGCACTTACCAAGGATTTAATGTTGCCCCATCATCTGTCGGGCAGATCAGATCAGCGCTGTAATACACAGCAGCATGTGAGGCCACAACCCGATACAGAAGTCCTGAAAAACAACAGCTGAAAAAATCTGTGTAATCCCACAATTACTGTAATAACTCTCTCTGCGTTCTCTTTTTCACAGACACAGTGCTTTGGCAAATTTAAATCTGATGTTCAGGAGTTAAGAGTGATGTAAGGCCGGGTCTTTCTGGAACAATGTGTATTCTGATAGATGGATTGTAAACAAAATACCAACGGGTGGTTTCCAGCCGTATAACAATATGCTGCCGGCGGTGGATCTCATGCTAACATGCTAAGCCTCTTCGCAAAGCAATTTTTTACAGTAACTCCTGATAAAAAGCTTTGTTCTGATATCCTTTGACACAGAAAGGAACTGCAGAAGACAAAACATGTTTTCATTTCCAACAGTCCAAACTAAATAATTTCAGCTAATAAATCTGCCATGAAATCAACCCAGGGTGTGTTGAGTAGTATGATATAAAACCTGTTATCAGCTTTCAGCCACATCTTTTATCTTTCAGTTTCTGACAATCCTTTGTTTTAGTGTTGGTGCTAAGTAGACAAGAACATGTCTTTGTGTTGGCGATGCTCCTGAAAGTTGTGACCAGAATCATTTTGTATTTATTTAACCTCTCAGCCAAAATCTCTTAAAATCATCTAATTATTATCTTAGCAAGGATGGTTTTTAAATCTCAATAGACTGCTGAATACTGCTTCCTTGTATGTTAGCTTTAGCAGTTGTAGCGTACAAGATTAAAGAAAATACAATTTGAGAATAATGCTTTCCTTATTGGCTTAAGTGTGATGTAGCATGCATGTTAATCATCCGTCACGTTGAACAGGCAACAGTCGTGATTTGGATCTATTATTCGCGTTGGCACTTGCACAGAAGTCCATTTAGAAACACATTTATCCTCAAGAGATATCAATACATTTGAATAATTCATATACAAAATAATTCATTTAATTGTAGCAGATGGTAAGCAGATGCATTTACCTGCATTTACATACAGTCTTTACATTTAAAATTATGCTACGACTGAAGATTATTGTCATTAAATGAACACTACTGTAGGTCATTATTCATTATGTAATTGATTGGTCTGCAAAATAAAATATTAAATAAAATAAAACAGTAAAACACAAAGCCAAAGATGATAGCATCTAATTGCTAGCTTGTTCTTAAGATGAACAAAAGAAGCCGATTTTTTCAATACGGAGGCTCTAAATAGGTATAGTGGGTCATTTTTGCTTTTGAAATGATCTGTGCAGCCTGTGACGTTTCATGCATCCCATGTGTATCCACTTTGCCTCAAACTGTTGTTTTTTCAGGTTTAATGATTCCCCACTATTAAAGTTCCTCTTGACAGCCACATTTTGCATTCTGTTAGAAATGTGGAAAGATCAATGCTGGCTGCAAAACAAGAACTTTTTTCCACTTGTTGCTGAACATGGCAACACAAACGTTGCTCAGTTTAGTGCTGCGCTGAGAGTTTGTGACACGAATATAAACTTTAACCATTAGTGAATTTGTATTGAATCGCCTACATCTATATGGCCTTCTTATTTATATTTTTACTCAAAACAAATGTTATACAAAAACTAGGTTTCATAAGA